GCGTACACTCTAAAATAACAATAAAAAATATAGTATAATATTTATAGTACATAAACCAGTAACACAGTCGTCTATTATCATTATCAAATATTATGTACTGCATATAATTGTACCTGCCACACTTTTACACGACTGGCAGCACAGTGGGTTTGTTTACACCAGCCTCACCACCAACACATGAGAGATGCATTGTGCTACTAGGTGAAAGGAATTTTCAGGTCCATTATAATCTTATGCGACCACAGTTGTACATGTAGTGTATCATTTACCCAAAACATCGTTATGCAGTGCTTGACTGTATGGTCTTCTCTTTAATTTAAAAAATATTTAAACATTTGATCCAGCTGGAGTTGATCTTTGGGAGGGGGGTACTAAGAAGTAAAAAAGAGACCCAGTTCTATTTGTTTTTCCCAAATGACTACTCAATAGCAACTCTTATTTTCTAACTGGATCTATACGGGAAAACTACATGTTTGTAAATGTATAACTGGACTCCTTGCTGAACTCTCTCATTAGTTTAATAGTTTTTCAGATGATAAAGGTAACCATCTTCTGCAAATTCACCTCCTCTCTTTAATTATTTATTTTTTCCTCTTATTAGGTATATCATTTATCACCTCCTCCATATCCACCTCATTCTGCTGTTAAGACCTGCGAAAGACTTTTGCCCCAGGTTTACTCCTAACATTTTGATGTCTCTTTAAAGTATCTCTCGACAACTGATTTTGTTGGATTTGGGTTTTTGATCAAATCCTTGTTGGGGCAGGACCTGAGTTTCTGAGTCGGAGCATTAATAGTAAAGGAGATAAATATTACTTTTTGGAAACTATAGTTGGTCAGAACACATCCTTGTACATATACTTCTGTACACTTAGCCAGTGCTTTGCCTTATATAAAATAAGAGTAGCTTAAACAAGATAGAAACTTATTTACAACTGAACGACATTAAATAAACAAAATAGTTCAGTGGCAGGCAGAGCAGGGCTGGTATGGCGGCTCTGTACCACAAAGTCCTGAGGAGATTTAGTCTCCATCTAACCCCGAAACCACCTCCCATAGTGCAAAATGGCTGCTAAAGTTCTGGCCATCACATCTGAGTTCCAGACAGCAAGTTGAAAGAAAAGCAGAATGGCACACTCCTGACAACCTCTTTATCCTGGGCTTGATCAAGTGGCCACGCCCAGCTACAAAGGAGGTTGGGGAATGTAGTCTGTTAACTTGGGGACCATTTGCCCAACCCAAAATCTAGTCTCTGTAACAACTAGGGAAGAAGGAAAGAGAGGTTAATGAGAAGCATCTAGCAGCCTCAGCCTTAGAATATCATAGATCGTTCTACCTGTTTCTTCCTTCCATATTTTTTCACCAATCACAATCGGAACTCTGCCTGAATTGGCACATGGCAGCTATTTTTTCAGTGGGATTTTTCCTGCTTTGTACCAGATTCTGGTCTCAGGTGGGGTGGGCAGCCATTGCCTGTTTCTGGGTCTTCGTGGGTGGTACAGTGGGACACCGAGAAGTGGCACCAGAGCTCCTGGTCTTTGAAAAGATTTTTTTCCCTCCACTTCACTGATCTTTTGGGAGGACCTGCCCTGTTTTGCAGCCGTTGAGTTACCTGCATTGGCCAAGGTAAGGTGGGAAACTCTGCCTCCTCTTCTAGTCCCAGAGGCCCCTCCTGTCCACCTCCAGCTCACCTCTGCCTTGGCCTGTGATTGTACTTGAAGTCTGTAGCCCACACACCTCTCTTCCTCATACTTGTCTCTGGGGATACCCTGTGGCTTGTTGGATTTGGGTTTTTGTTCAGAGTTCTGGACAAAAAGTAAGTGCTTAATAATCCCTTGATTAATTAGGAGGAAGCGATGACAGAATTTTGCCTTCAGGAATTGTGTTACGATATCCGGAAGTGTGTTCAAGGTAATTGTATGTTTTCAAATGTAAATAGTAATCAGAACAGTTAACGTTTATTGAGCACATACTCAGTCAGGCACCATTCTAATATTTTGCAAGTTCGTGGTCCTTATAATCCTGATGTTGGTACTGAGAGCCTCCTCATTTTGCAAAAGAGGAATCAGGCACAGGAGGTTAAGTCATTTGCTCAGCTTGGAAGGCTTAAAACTAGGATTGGAACTCAGGCATCTGGCTCCAGATTTTACTGCAGTAGAAAACAGTAAGGTGGCTGGAGGCAATGCCTGGAGTTTGGAATTGATAGAGAGGCCCAAAACTGGATTCCAGCTCCCACTTTGCCCCCAGCTTGTGAGAGATCCTGGGCAAGCCACATCTCTCTCTCAAAACTAAGGCCTCCAGGGCCAGGCGGGGCCCAGGCAGGACCCTAAATCAGAGAGGATCAAGAGTGATTGTTGTCATGTGGGTATGTATGGTGTGGTCTTCTAGAATATTCCTGAGAAGCCAGAAATCTTGAGTTTTGTAGGCCACCTCCTAACTTGCGGATTTCAGTGACTGATTGTTTATAACACACAGCAAACCAAAGTACATATCTGCTGCCTGGCAGAGGCCAAGGAGTTACAAATTTACAAATCCTGAGCTAGCTAGGTTATCTGAAAAGCTCTTTTGCCTGCAAAATGGGAGATTCCAAAGCAGCCCTCTGCCCTTGAAGAGCTTCAGTCTCCGCAAAAATATACCTGCATACATCTACACGAGAACACCCTACATGAAGGGAGCCTGGGGCCCAGCACTGGGCAGCCAGAGGAGGTTTCCTGGGGACAGGGTTCTGCAGAAAGCTGGGCTGCAGATGAGGAAGGAGGCGGTGCCCCAGGCAAGGAGCACAGCGCTGGCAAAGGGAGGAGCAGCCAGGCAGGCAGCAATTGCCAGGAACTGCTCCTCTCCTGGGTCCTCCTGGTATACCCAGAGCCAGGCTGTCCTGGACTGTTAGTCATGCTGGCCTCACAGGTGAGAGAACAGAGCTTAATTTCCTTAGCTAAGGCCCCAGACAGGAGGCAGTGGAGCGGGACTGAAAGCGGGCAGAATGCATTCTGCTCCAGCGCTTCCCAGAGAGGAAGGGAGGTGGCTTTGGAAAGGAACGGACTGGGTTTCCTCAGCGGAGGAGGAAAGAAGAGAGTCAGGACTCCAGAGTCCATTCTGGGTGTGGGAACTCTGAGACTTTTCTGGGTGAGGCATAGCCACAAGGGACACTCCTTCATGTGCCAGAAGAAGTCCCAAACTGGCCGTGTGAACTGAGTAGAACCTAGGAATCAGGTGTCACTACAGGGTCACAGTGGGGAGGAGCCAAGTGCTGCAGGAAACCCACTCCAACTCCCACCTCCCAGCCATGGGAGAATCCCTCCATTCCCACGGACCCCATCCCGTTTCCCATCTGTAAAAGGAAGTGATTGGTCCAATCAACCTTTCTCTCCAAAATGGTTCGTGTACCAAAGGTGATTTTGGGTGTTACCTCAGGGGGAACTTTTTTCCCTTTTTAAATTTGAATAGGCATGTGTTCATTTTCATGTGAATTAGGAAAAAGATAACTATATCAGTAAATCTGGAATTTCACCATAACGAAAATAGCTAACTCTTAGTGAGTGCTTACTGTGTGCCAGGTGCAGCTTGAGGTAGCAGAAACTCGTTAACATATTTGCATCTCATTGATACTGTCACTGTCCTTTATTTACAGTTAGGAAAATGAGATACAAGAGGCAAAGTCACTTGTTCATGGTCACCCAGCTAGTAAACAGCAGAGCTGAGTTCAGGCCCAGGCAGCTGGCTCCAGAGTTTTGCTTCTGGCCTCTTCAATGTTTTTACTTAGACTGAGAGTAGGTCGAAGAGGGTAATAGCACAGGTGGTATGACACAGGTCATTGGGAAGGTGGTAAGCAGATGGCAGAATGGTTTTGGAGGGCTAGAGTCAGGCGGTCTCTGAGGGCCTGTCCAGCTAGGGAGTTCTTTAAATTCAGGAGAAAACTGCCAGGTTAGAATATTATATTAGGTAACCATATTTTTGTAATAGGTAGTGTGTTTACATAGTTCACAAGTCAAAACTCGATAAAAAGGTCTACAAATCTTTTTGTATAGGTGCTGCAAACATCCCAGCAGTTCCCACTTGTCCTTCAAGGACTGCTTTGTGCAAATACAAGCAAAGGGTACATATTCTTCCTCCTCGGCCCCTGTGTCCAAAAGGCAGCACACTGTACCTTGATTTTGTTCACTTGTCAACATAGCCTCAAGTACTGTCCCGAACAGCCAAGGAGCTCTCCTGCATTCCACATTTCTTTTGACAGGTGTCTAGCATTCCAACTTGTAGACATTTCTTTCATTAGCCCATCCTCTATGGATAGGCACTTGGGTCATTTCCTATATTTTGCTATTACCACGAGGCCACAGGGAATAATAACCTCAAACATGCATCATTTTGTCCAGGATAGGTAACCTATGGGACAATCTCATGGTGAGAAATGGCACATTGGAGTCATTAATTGACATTTCCCATGATAAATTAAAGTGATAAGCTTTTCATATGTTTAAGACTTATTTGTACTTTTCTCAAAATTGTTCATAACCTTTGCCCATTTTTCTATTTTCTTTTTGTTCTGAATTTCTAAAAACTCTGTATATATTAGGAAGATGAGCTCTTTGTCTGTGATTTACATTGCAAATATTTTCCCCCAAGTTGTCATCTGTCTTTCGATCTTGCTGTTAGTATTTTTTTGCCTTTTTTGCAGAGGTTATTTTGTTGGTTTATTTGTTTGCTTTTGTGTGTTTTGTGCAGTTGAATGTATCAAACTTTTCTTTGGTGGTCTCTAGATTTATAAGTCATGGTTAGGAAGCCTTTCCTACTGGAATGTTAGTTATAGAGGAATGTTTTGTCCATGTTTTCTACTAATAAAAAGCCAACTCTTTCATAAAGAGGGGAATGATAAGAGAAAATTCTGGGCCCCAAAGCCCAGTCTTTTGCTAGACAGTGAACTGGACAATACTCACCTGGTATTTTCCTCCATAGGTTCTGCTGATCTGAGGAGGCGGCAGCCTCTGGCCCTGGCAGGCATAACCATGACCCTCCTGACACACCTGCTGGTCTGTACCTTCGGGATAGGCTCCTGGGTGGCCATCAACGGACTCTGGGTAGAGCTGCCCCTGCTGGTGACAGAGCTGCCTGAGAGCTGGTACCTGCCCTCCTACCTCACAGTGATCATCCAGCTGGCCAATGTTGGCCCCCTCTTTGTCACCCTGCTCCATCGCTTCTGGCCTGGCTGCCTTTCTGAGGTGCCTGTCATCTTCACTGTGCTGAGTGTGGGCACAGTTGCCTGCATCCTCTTTGCCTTCCTCTGGAACGTCACCTCCTGGGTGCTGGGTGGCCACCACAGCATCACCTTCATGGTCCTCACCTTCTTCCTGGCCCTGGTGGACTGCACCTCCTCCGTTACCTTCCTACCTTTCATGAGCCTGCTGTCTACCCACTACCTGACCACCTTCTTTGTGGGTGAAGGACTCAGTGGCTTCCTGCCTGCCCTGGTGGCTCTTGCCCAGGGCTCGGGTCTCACCACCTGCATCAACGTCACTGAGACATCTTACACCACACCAAGCCCTAACACCACCGGGACGACTGACATCACACAGGTACCCAGGGTCACCCAGAACCAGTGCAGCACCCTGTGCTTGATCACAGCAAGATTCCATGAAGGGCTTGTGTTTCTGAAATGTTAGATAGACCCATGTTCTTGACCTGGCTGTACTTTAGATTACCTGGGAGAGGTATCGGAACACACCAGCAGGCCCCACGCACACAGCCAGACGAGTTAAATAAGACTCTCTGAGGGTGGGGCTTCCCTAAAATCCTTGTTCTCAGATGTGTATTAGAAAAGAGTTTCAGATTTTGGAACATACCTGCCCCACCTGTGACACAGCAATCCTGTTCAGTGACACCGCTGTAAACAGGCTCACATCCCTTCAAGTATTGCTGCCAGCTGAGTCATGATAAACTTCTGAGCTTTTTGGATTTCAGCATTGCAAAATAGGGGTTGTGAACTTGTATTTATTCAGAATTCCCCAGGCTATGCTAACGTACAGCCAGGGCTGAGAACCGTAGACTTTAGATATTTTTGCTTCAACATCTCCTGTTCTTAAAACGTCTGTCAACATAAGAAATGTTCAAACCTATAGAGATATTTTATAAGCATTTATTTGAGCCAAAACTGATGACAGTTGTCAGGAGCAAGATGTCAGATGCTTCGGAGAATAACAATTTTGCAGTTTCTTTTATGCAATTGAAATTAAGGAGGGAACATAAGGAAGATTACGTGAGGGTAGGAGAAAGGATGGCAGGGATTAGATTACAAAATAGTTAAGAATATGTGCTCTCTTGAGGGTGGTTACAACTTCAAAGGGTATTACTGCTGACATCTCAAAGGTGTGTTACCCTAGATGCATAGAAATAATGGACAGGGGTTGCTTAAGTGAAGATGAACCTTTCACTAAGATGGTATAGGCCTGGGGCGTGACTCCCCACCATGTGCTCTCCAGTTAGGACTTTATGATCAGATCACCCTGTGAAGTTACTTTCCGTAGAACCCCTTTTTCTTCCACAGTTCCCCTTTTTGGTCATAAATCAATCCAAAAGATGCACTAATGACCAGCCTTTTGGTCAGATAGTGTGGTCACACAGCACTAGGAAGGCTCATTCCCAGGAAGTCTCAGTATCGTCATTTGTTGACCATTGAGGATGGGGCAATATTATAACCATGGGATATGAGCTGAGGCTGAATTTTCCCAAAAAAGGGAAGGTCAGGTAAATGGAAGGCAGTCAGGTCTTATGGAATTCACTGTGGTGGGGGCGGAGGGGCGGGGAGGGGGAGAACATTCTGGTTTATAGCCTATGAACTATCATGATCCGAATTTTGTTTTCTGTCTCATTTTTCAGTATTTAGCATCTAGTATAGCATTTACATAATCCATAAAGAGGGTATTAAAAAATATAATATTTTCAGTAACCATAAACAGTTGAACCATATAGGAAAAAAGTATAACTATTATTATGATGCCTACCATTAGCAATCAGGTGAAGACAATCAAATGGTTTCTGAGTTAAACATTAATTTGTAGGTATACGGGCCTCGTGCATGTCTTGGGATGGCCGTCTACTTCTGATGTCAGCACTTCTCCTAGAAGAGTCTCTGATGTCCATAGACAGGGGTAGATGTACTTTCATGGTTAGGCACTAACAAGGTCCCTTCCCACTAGGCTGGAGAATGTCTTTTAATTGACGTCTTTTCCAAAAAACAAACTCTACAGGTGGTAGCCAATGTTCTTTAAAGTCTTTGTCTCCCTGGAGCTCCCTGTGAAAGGCAGCAGTTGCCAACTTGGCATTTTCTTGAAGTGACTTTATCAAACCTTGGCAATAGTTTTAGGTGCCGCCTTTCAATAACGTCAGCTCATAAGTTCCTTTATTTAATATAAGCCCAGCTTAAATGCACTGTGATGCATAAAGGAATACAAGACCTGAAAAATGGGTTTGCCAGGGAGCCATAAAGAACCAAGCCGCCGTCTTGGGTTTTCCATAGCCCTATTTGTTTAATTTACAACCATTGTTTACCCACACAATATACCCTAGGAAATTGTTGTTGTTGTTTTTTTAATCATTTATTTTACAATACTTTCCATGTGATTTAACATAAAAAAGAAACGTTTGAGGTGTTACACCACAAAGTTATCCCTACATATATTAATATTTTAACGCTTAAAACCTCAATTTCTAATGGAGACTAAGAAGTGAACAATTAGCATTCATAAATTAGCTTGGCAAATTTATGAAGACATTTTATAACCTCTAGAAACATATGTCATAGACACCAAAGTCAGTTATTAACACAAATTTGTTTTTGTAAACCCAGGTAAAATATAAACATTATATTTAATATCAATAACTCAAAAGACATGTCTGTTCTACTTAACCCAGTAAACTTAAACTAATGTTTATTTACTAAGTATTAATCTTAAATCACATGACTTGAGAAGCATCTGAGTTAGTTTCTATATTTCTGATCATTTTAGAAGACCCAATTCTTACAAGTGCTTGCCTTTAAATTAATTTTAATAATGCCATCCAGAGGTAGAAAATTATCTCCCATTTCAATATACATATATAGACACACACAGACACCAACAGAGACCTTTAAGCCATGAGAAAAATTCTACTGGTTTATAAAAGAATGGTTGAGTCCAAATTTTATTTGAGGCATTTACAATTTATCTTCCTTTGACAAGTCAAGTTCCAAATGATCTTCCCCTTTTTAAAATAAGGACAGCCATTTTTAATACCTCAAAGAATTGAACTGACATCTGAAAGATATAGGTCGATCCATTTACCTAAATGTTCTTTTCAAAGTTTCGAGAGACCAACCAGATATGTTTTCCATTCATTGTGCCTAGTTTTATAGCCAGCTTTTTCTAATTGTGCATGAAAAAGTTAATTTTGAAATATCAAAGGATCCTCATTGTGGCCATCTTAGCATTAATGGGAGGCTGACTGTCGTGGGGCTTGGAGGCACGATTTTCCATATTAATTTTAGTTTTTTTCTTTGAGATATATGCAGTCTGAACAAATTTCTAGGGAAAACCAGCCTTTACATCCATCCATCCATGTCTCCAGATAAGCCAAATGCAGTATATATTCCCATAGGACTGCTTCATGCCCTAGAGAAAATTTTTCCTCAGGCAATCCCACAGAGATTCCTAGTTACCTAAGACTACCTGAACAAGGGCCAGCAAACGTTTACCAGACACCATCAGAATCATGACACTTTCCAAGGCATGGGTCCCTCTCTCTCAGGGTGAACCTATTCCAGGGCCCCCTGCCCCTCACAAAGAAAGAAAACTCTCCCTGGGGCTCCCCCAGCCTCCCTAGAGTCAGCTGCATTACCACACTGGGGTACTCCCAGCACCCATCTCCACCACTTCGAATTCTGGATCTGCTATAACTATTTTCACCCTATTGGCTATTCAGGTTTTGGAAAGCAAGTATTCTCTCCCTTTTGGAGCTAAAAAGAGTTCAGTCTCTCATTTAACCAGCAAAGATTGTGTTCAGACTCTCAGTAAGCAATCCAATTACAAAGCCAAAATTAAAAACAACCCATTTTTTTTTCCCTGGGTTATCTCAACCCTTATCCAACTGGAGGATTTTCTAAGAACAGGTCAAATAAAGTCCTGGCCTGCTACTTAATGCAAGGAGGCCCCAGATTCTGAGAGAAAAGTCATCCAAGTTTACCTGATGTGAAGTAGGGAGCCAGGGGGCTCAATGGGCTCCTGCTGGTACCTAGCACCGGGTCCAGGTCTGCAGGATGGTCCTGGGTGGGCTTCTTTGGAATCCTGCCAACTACACCAAGTAAATGTTGACATAAGAAATGTCCAACCCTGTAGAGAATTTTTATAAGAGTTTAATTGAGCCAAAACTGATAGCAATTGCCCGGAAGCAAGTTCTCAAATGATTCAGAGAATAACAGTTTGATAGTTTCTTTTATGCATTTGAAATTAAGAAGAGAACAGAAAGAAGATGGCAGGGAGGTGGGAGGAAGTGAGACAGGGATCGGATTACAAAATATTTAAGATTGTGTGCTCTCTTGAGGGTGGTTACGCCTTCGAGGGCTATCCTGGCATTTCAAAGGTGTGTTAATCTAGAGGCACAGAAAAGATGGACAGGGCTTGTTTAAGGCAAAGATAAGCTTTTTACTAAAAACATCATATGCCTAGGGCATATCTGACCTGCCCAGTTAGGACTTTACGATCAGATCACCCTGTAAGGTTGCTTTTCATAGAACCCCTTTTCAACCAAGGTCAAACTTTTTTTTCACTGGGTATTGGACAATTTACATATATGTCTGGTATTATCCAAACCACAGCAGTACAGCAACAGTTGCAAAGCAGTGGCCAAGGCCATCATAGCCTGTAAGCATTCTTTTTTTTAAGTGTTTAGTTGATGACATTTAAATTTCTTGAAATTTCACATATATAAATCTAGATGTATGATGTCTCTTGAAAAGAGATCTGGCCACACCAGGCCACATCTCCACAAGGTGACTTGGGTGGAGCTGCCCTCCCCTGGCTGATTCCCAGCCAGACACTCCTCTGAACATATTTGTGGTTGTCAGCCCTGGAGGGCGGTAGAGTGGGGAGAGGTGTAGCTTCTGAGTCAGAAAGAACCAAGTGGACTGGGTTCGCCATGTACTCTGTGTGACCCTCAGGTAAGATGAACTGTTTTGACACCTCCGTTTCCTCTAAAACGGGGATAATGGTCCCCAGGGCTGTTAAGAGGTACACATGAGCTGATGCATGCAAAGGGCTGGTGCCCAGTGACCAGTCGGTCAATGTGAGCATTTATTATTATTACTTTAGAAGTCATGTGTATGTTATCTATCACACACTGTTTATTGTATATTATCATTATTAATGTTGTTGGTAACTGTGTCCCAACATCACCTAGGGATCCAATGACCTTTGTTTTATCCTCTTCAGGGACATAATAGCACTCCTGTGCCTGGCCTTTCTGGAACAGAGCTCTCCTCGGTCCGTCTGCAAAGCCGCTACCTCCCCGCCAACTTCTCGCCCTTGGTCTTCTTCCTCCTGCTCTCCTTCATGATGGCCTGCTGTCTCGTCTCCTTCTTTTTCCTCCAGCGTCGTCCCAGGCACTGGAAAATCTCCACAGAAGACCTCCTCACCTCCCAGATCACTCTCTACTCCCTCCGGTCACTGAAAGAGGACCTGGGCTCCCCAGGCCCGGTGGACAGCAGTAAGAGCCAGGGGCATCTGCAGGAGAAAACAGCCCGCCATTACCCGGCCCACCTGATCTTCATCTACATCCTGGTGGCCTTTGTGAACGCACTCACCAACGGCGTGCTGCCCTCTGTGCAGACCTACTCCTGCCTGTCCTACGGGCCTGTTGCCTACCACCTGTCTGCCACCCTCAGCTCCATGGCCAACCCTCTGGCCTGCTTCTTCTCCATGTTCCTGCCTATCAGGTCTATCTCAAACTGGGCCTGGGGAGCTCTGGTTGGCGATGCACTTCATTCCAGAAGCCAGAATTCCAAACCCCACAATCAGGCTATTTATGTAGTGGTTAAGAATATGATCCCTGGAGCTTGACTGCCTGGGTTCAAATCCCAGCTCTGTCACTTACTAGCTGTTTGGTATTGGACAAGTCACTCCGCCTCTCTGTGCTTCAGGGATACTTACCTGGGAAATAGTGATAATAAAATTATCTCATCTCATGCTCCTAGGGTTTCTAGGAGCATGAGATGAGATAATTTTGTAAAGTTTCAGAGCAGTGCTTGGCGCACAGCAGGTCCAGTATGTCAACCATCACTGCCATTGGCCCACAACCAGGCAGGAACTGAGATTCTCTTTTACAAATGGGAACCCTGACGCTTGTAGAAAGGGCTGGCCCTGGTATAATTCCCAGGATTTTAGCCCCGTCCTCCTGCCTCCAGCCCACACTAGCTCCAGTTCTAGAAGAATGGTTAGGCAAGTTGGTAAAATGCAGATTGAGTCAGCTTAGATTGGGACCTGGGATTTTAAATTTTAATAAGCAACCTAAGTGGTTCTGACACAATGGCTTAAGACCACCAAAGAGAAAGGCCCACCTTGGGGTCATGAAACTTTAGGTCCCACAGCCTCCCCCATCCATCCCTCTGCCCTGCCTGCCCTCATTAGCCTCTCAGACCTGCCCACACCTACCTTCCCCAGCCCTAGAAGGAGGGATAATGAGTACAGGAGAGTTAGACAGAAATGTCAATTTGCTAGAAAGCTGAATTTTCTCCCTTGGGGCTTAAAAACTGTGGAAGGAGCCTGGAGATTTCTGAGGAAGCAGGACCACAGACCGCAGACCTGTAGAATCTGAGCTGCCCAGAATGTCAGAAATACAGAATTCGAGAGTCAGGGAATCTAAGAATCCTGGAGCAGAAAGAGTCCTTGGAGGCAGAGGCAGAGCCCCCACTCTCACCCAGGGCACAGACCAGCCTTGGTGTTCTGAAGAGTGTAGACAAGGAGACCCCAGGGGCAGTAACTTCAAATGAAGGGCAGTGTACACAATTGTCAGACCTGGGTTCAACATGCAAGGCCTCCATGTAGAATGCATCCAAGCTAGCCACCAGGGCCCCCAGAGCATGCAAACCTCACGTTGTAGACAGGTAGCTGAAGCCAGAAGGGAGAGGTCACCTGAGGTCACACACCACACCCTGCAGAGCTACCTTCTCCCTAGCCCGGCTTCCTGGCTGAGGGTGGGCGTGTTGTAGGAGGAAATGGCAGCAGGTAAAATATTAGGTAGAGCCCACAGCCAGGGCTAGGCCCTGCACACTATGCTCCCATGGGCATCCATAGCCCTGCAAGACTCATTTCACAGGTGATGAAACTGAGGCTCAAGAACCAGTCTCACAGCTTAACTGGTGGAACTGGGATTCAGACCAGGTCCATATAGCACCAGAGTTGCTCTGTTTCTCCTGCTGGGATGCTCAGCCTTGCCATTAGTGCTCAGGGTGACTTAGACCAGCCTTGTCCCTCAGGAGCTTCACTGACCCACTTGAGCCAGGTAGCCTGTAAGTTCCCACATGGGTCTAACCTCTAATCCTGAAGATGCTGACCATTCTGCATGGCCCTCAGGGTTGGAGAGGCAGAGGTCATGCTTCTTACCTCCTCCATTCCGCTCCCCTACTCTGCCCTAGGTCTCTGCCATTCCTGGCGGTCCTTACTGTGCTTGGAACTGGCTTTGGGGCCTACAATATGGCCATGGCCGTGATGAGCCCCTGCCCCCTCATGCAGGGCCACTGGAGTGGAGAAGTCTTAATCGTAAGTATCTGCTCCCATAAGTACCCCCTCACCTCGCCAAGGCCTGGGGAGACCCAGGGTATAGCACTTTCTATTGACCAAAGTCTCTGCGGTTGCTTGCTCAAGAAGCCCCAAGTCGGGGCAGGGAGGGGGAATGCCTCTCATTTGGGAGTGGAGGCTTAGGAAGGTGAGCTGGCTGGTCTAAGGTGATGGTCCAGCCTCTCCCTGGAAAGCCACATTCTTCCCACCGTGTGGACGTCAGCAGTGACCTTCTCGCAGAGGCCCTTGACTTGATCATGAGGGATAGAAAAGCTACTGAGCTTTACTTTGTCCTTGGGGAGGGGTCAACTCATGGGGTTCCCTTAGCGCTGTAAGGTAACCCTACACCCTTCACCCCTGGGGGTCACCCTAAAGCCCCCTTCACTCTGCATCTCTCCCACCCTATCTCCGCAGGTGGCCTCGTGGGTACTTTTCTCTGGATGTCTGAGCTATGTCAAGGTGATGCTAGGCGTGATCCTGCGCGACCGTAGCCGCAGCGCCCTCTTGTGGTGTGGGGCGGCGGTGCAGCTGGGCTCACTGCTCGGAGCTCTGCTCATGTTCCCGCTGGTCAATGTGTGGCAGCTCTTCTCATCCGCTGACTTATGCAACCTGCAGTGCTCCACCTAGGTCAACTGGAGGCACCTGGAGACTGGGACCCAGAGAGGCAAGGCAAGGGCTTAAGGTCACAGGGCAAGTGGTGGGGGTCTCAGAGGCAAAGCCTGAGGACTTGAACCAACAACACAAACTACCCTCTGTAAGGTAGGGAATGCCACGCGCCTCCCACAGGACCTAGAAATGCAAAGCACAGCCCTATCCCCGCTCTGAGTCACAGTACCTGCAATTTCACTCTTTCATAACTTACTTCCTTCCACTCCTGAAAGATGACTGACTAGGAGCTGGAGGCAGGCTCAAGGGTATTAGAAGGGAAACAGCTGGATGGGTGAACTGGCCCTTACAAGCTGTGCGACCTCAGGGAAGCCAGTTAATTTATCTGTGCCTCTGTTTCATCATCCATAAAATAGGATTATAATAGATAGCACCTACCTCATAGGCTTGGCATAAGGATAAAACGGAGACACGCCAGCATGTAAGGAGCCTTCCTGGGCCACTCCCTGATCTGTAATAACAAGAATAAGAAGAGTGACAATCAACACAGCCTAAAGTGGCCAGAGAGCTTGAGAGATGAGCCCTGCCTCATATCCTTTTTCCCACTATCCTCATAGAGGAGCTTCTAGAAAGCGGATGGCTAATAGCGGAATCTCAAGCATGTTGGCTTCCCGATTCCCAGTATGGCAGGACATTGTACCCCATATACCCCTTCCCATCATCCCTCCTAACCCATGAAGGCCTGCTCTTTGGAGAATAAGTGACGACCTAGGAGGCAAAGAGAGGTGATGGGAAGAGGGGCTACACCGAGCTTCTGAAAGTGAGTCCCCCACCCCTCAAGTCACCAAGGCTGAAAGGTGGACACCAAGAAGGTGGACACCAAGAACCCTGGGGAACAGTTCTCTCAACTGGAGGAAGGAGGAGTATGGAGAAGAGTATATTAGCTACCTGATTGCTTCTAATTTTACTTTTCGTTGTTGTTTTTTAAATATATTCCCTGCTTTTACACTAAGATCAGCCTTCTAAGGAAAAGTCCAAAACTATATCAATATAATCAGTTTCCAGTTTCCAGTTGGCTCCAAGGTCAAGACTGAGCTCAAAAATGGACAGAATCATGTGTTTAGAGAACGTCTGGACCTGGGATTTCTTTTCCTTAGGGGTCTGTTTTGTTTGCTTGCTGTCACCCCTGCTTTTTAATTTATTTTGAATAGATAATATAGTCACGTGTTTTAAAAATCAGAAAATATAAAATGGAGTTCAAAAGAATTCCAGCCCCCTCTCTCCCTCATCTGCCCAGTTCCTCTTAACATACGCACACACATGCAAGCACTTTTATTTATCCCTTATTACTCTTCCAGAGATTATACAAGTGTAAACAAATACAAATATAGTCTTTTTACAGAAAAAGTAGTAAACTACTTTGTACTTTACTCTTTGACTCAACGATGGAAATGGAGAGTGTTCTTGTTCTCTGTCATGACTGCATAATGTTCCACTGTGTGAAGATGCCAAATTATTTTAACCAGCTGTCTGCAGAAAGACATTTGAAGGTGTTGGAGACAAAATTAAAAACAAAATCTCCCACCAACTCAGAAAACCTCTCCACAAAAGTAGAAGAGAAAGAAAACATTTTTATTATTGAATAAGCATTAAACCAGATTATGGTGCACATCCCAGACAATCTGCTAAAGAGATTACTAAGGCAGAAAGAAACCCCACCCTTTCATATACAAACAGAACCAATTATATCCATGTTCTCAAACGGTAGCTAGTCCTCAAATAGGAGGACCAGACAGCACCATTTGTCACATAGTTTGTCACTAGGGTAGCTGTATGGTTAGCCAATTGTCCTTATCCACAGGAAAAAGAAACTCATGTGTTTACGAGAGGAGGTTGTGTTGGAACTTAGAGTCCAGCACTGAAGTTAGGCTTCCACCCTCTCGAAGAAACTGGGCAATAGTGGTGCTGGCTTACTTGATATTTACATTACAAAGAGATGGCTTCTAGGTCCTTGAGAAAAACATTTCTAGATGGTAAAACTGGCCAGAGGCTTATTCAGCTTTTTAAAAGACCCCTGTACATCTGAAAGGAGCAGAGAAAGAACTTACAAGTTTTCTAAAATAAATGCTCTAAGAAAAGGGAGAGAGGATGTCTCCCTTTTTTAGCACCAAGGAGAATTCTTTTGTAATTTGTATTTGCCCTTACAAGGGCATTTGGGTTGTTTCCAAGCATTCCCTCCCAGAAAGGATGTTAGAGTGGATAATGAGCAAGAAGACAATCTCTTCTGTGCTGACGCGGGAAGATGCTCCAAGATTAATTACACACACGGAGAGCAGATGCAGAAGAGCATGTAGAGTATGGAGCTGGCCACACTCACACATTCTGTCAAGGACCAAGTGAGAAGGCGAGTGACTTGGTATTTGGAAAAGGCACCTCCACTTGACGACACTCTCTGTGGTTTTGCTTTCACTAGCCATCCTTGGAATTCTTGATGACACTGACAATCTGTAAGTTAACATGCATGAGTTCATGCTCCTCAGTCCCCTCTTCTGTACAATGGGGATGACAAAAGCACTTCCCCCTCACTTTGTAAGGCCTTTTTATTTTTAAGTTAACACCTTCCGATGCTTCAGACATATGCGAGCCTCCGTGTGTGGTGTGCTAGTGGGGGTCCAGATGGAAGGATGATCTCACCAGAGTCCCACAAAAAATGGACTGCAAAGACAGGGTCCAGACCTTGTCTCTGAATCCAGGGTTTTTTATCATGAGCTATTGGCATAAATACTGAGGTATCACACTCCAGATTTATCCTGGAGGAAAGTGGCTCCAGGAACTTGAAAATGTGAAATCAGACCAGGACTGCTTTGAGGAGAGGCCCACAAAGCCATCTGAAAGAGAATTGGTAGGGATTACACCAACACGCTTCCTGGGGTTGCTCAGTACTAGGCTGCCAAAAAAGGGAACATATACCTTTTCATCCCCACTGATGTCCACCATGGTGACCATCAACTTCATGACTCTGAAGAGCCTTCCCACAGCCACCCTTCTTGGCTGGCCAGATGCCAGGGCACGGGGCCATTTCTGTGGTCATCTGCTGAGGGACTTCCCATGCCTTGGGCTCTTCCTGAGATTTTACTGATTTATTTTTCATGGAGGCCCTAAAAATACTTCTGTTATTATGTGTCCTATTTTTCAAATAAAGAAACTGAAGTACAGAGAGGTTAAGTATCTTGGCTGAGGTCACACGACCAATGAGTGGCAGAACCAGAACTTGGACCCAGGCTGCCTAGGCTCTGTATTAAATGATCTTTCTGTGTCAGAGATCTGAGTCACAAAGCGTGTGAACCAGTCAAGAAAATATTGGCTTCAGATGGAGACAGCCTTCCCTAACTCATTGTCTTCTGGTTTGAAATGGAATGTTTCAAATAGAAATAGAAAACTCTAATCCACTCCCATAGCCTCCACTCCACCACCCTCCCCCCCAGCCCCAACACACACACACACTCTCAAATTCCTCTGGAAGTGAAAATAAGGGAGGAGAAATTTGTGCTTTTGTAGGCAGATGTAATTGACACACACACAGTCTAATGACATCACTCTAAGAATTACTAGCAAAGAGGCTGAAACTTGTCATAGAAGGTTTATCACACACCTCATCTTACAATTCTGGTTTTGCAATGGGATAACATGTTCTGATTCTCCTAATGATGTTTACAAAGGCAAAATCTGGGGGGAGTGCCATGATAAATATTGGTGTTGCCAAGATTCTGCCTTTCATTTGGAAATTGCTGGTTGAGCAGCTGGCTTTTGAGTGTTCCTTAAGAAAGAAAGGCTGCTCTATCACAACTTGTAATTTGGCCTAAGCTGGTGTCCTTTCACAGGATTCGGTGGTTAGAATGTAAGATACAGAACTTTATCTCTTAGTGAGGAAAGATATTATTATTGATAGAATGAAGATAAGCCAAAAACAGCACTGCTATTTGCTATAATGTCTATTTTCCTGTTTCTATCGTAGTCATAGGACCCTTGACTTTTAGCTGGACACATGGTAGTCCACAGGAAAGACCACATTTCCTTGGGGCTGGGAATGGCCATGTGATTACGTTCAAACAAACACTACGAAGAATAATGCCTACAACTTCTTGGTTGTATACTTAAAAGTCAGGGGGAGGACCTCCACTTCCCATTTACCACTTCCTGCTGGGAAATGCAGATGTGATGGCTGGAGCTGGAGCAACTGTCTTAGACCATGAGGAGGAAGCCATGCATTGAGAATAATATAGGAGGAATATAGAAGGAGCCTGAAACCATGATTCTGGATCCACTCTTCCTCTCGGGACCCAGATTCAATGTGATGAAGAAATAAGCTTCTATATTGTTTAAGATTCTATAACGTGGGGGACATTTTGTTATAACAGTAGAATTCTCATATTTGTATATGTATATTTCTCTATATGTACACATATATGCATACATACACTCACACACGTGCAATCACACAGAAAAAGGACTGGAAAGATGTATATCAAAATGTCAGCCTAAAAACATACAAACAAACAAACAAATAAATATGTCAGCCTACTTAATTCTGCAGGGAGGGATTTCTGTGTCTTTTTTTTTTCTTCTTGACACTTTGCTGTGCTCTGAATTTTTTCTTTGAGCATGTGTTATTTCAAAACTCAATAAAATAAAGTCTAAAGAAAGGAAGGCTTCTATAAATAGATCCTATTGTTTAAATCACCTTCATTTGCTTCATATGAGCCTCCAAAGATCACACACACACACACACACACTGATGGACTTAGATCTTATGGAATATTTGGCTTTGTTTCCCATGGGATATGGAAATTTTTTCCGATTTTCTTTTTACTGAACAAAATGTCTTGGAGATGGTTCCATGTCCCTATGTAACCAGCACAAAGACCTTTCTGGTTGGGCTTTACTGAATGGTCCCTATTGACGGACATCTATACTGTTTCCAATTTTAAGCTACTGCAGAAAACACATTGATAAAAGTCCTC